AGTCGCAGTCGACCGCTACGGTCGACCGGATGTTGTCCAGAGAGCAGTTTTGTAGTTTTTCTTCTCGCGGTCGACCGCCAATGTTACCGTTGCACAGTAATGGTAACTTGCTGATTTTTATTTTTTAGTGGATTTTTGGGGTTGGTTTCTTAAAACCTATATATAACCCTTTGTCATAGCTATTTTCCACAACCAAGAGAGTTTAAAAACAAGTTTTAAGTGTGGTTTAAGTTTGTTTAAGTTTTTGTTTACAAAATTGGTTTTGTGAATATTGTTTCACAAGAAGAGGAGATCATTTTTGGTTTGAGCTTTCCATTTCACATCTCCATCCATCTTGTTCTAGAGAAGTTTTCTCAACTTAATTATCTAGCTTGTTTATATTTACATTATCATATTTATATTTGCTAGACCTTAATTGAGTTTGATTTTATTTTCTCATTGCTTACACACACAACCATTGAGCTTATTGTATTTTCATACTTAGTATAATTTGGGTTGTGGGGAGTTGTAACAATTGAGAGTGAACTTATATTGAGTTCCCATCCATATTAGAAAACAATCATTTATTGTATTTGTGCCTAATTGTGAATGTCACTTTGTATTACACTAGTACACCGAGAGGAGTGTGTGGTGAAAGACGGGATCGTCCCAAGAAGAGTGGGGTAGGTGGTAATGCCTAGAAAGAGGTTGTAATTCCTAACACTTGAGGGAGACACGGGCTAGAGACCAACACTTGAGGTGGTAGTTAATGTAGTCACATTGTGAGATTGTGAACGTTGATCGGTGAGCGTTGAAAACCGACATTGTGTGATGTAAACGTTATTCGGGTGAGCGCAGAAAACCCGATTGTGATAGTGGAGATCTCCTCGAGGTGAGGAGCGGAGACGTAGGTCGTGGGGACCGAACTCTATGAACATATCGTTTGTTTGTGATTGCTTTGGCGCACTTATTTTTATGTTCATATCTTATATCGCCTTTGTATATTGCTTGTTGTTTATATTACCCACTATCTAGTTTAGATTATTTACCATTGTGTTATTTGTATATCCTTGCATATATCTCATAATATATCTCATTGTTAGGATATATCCTTGTTCATATTGTTTATTCTTACTTATAACACTTTTTATATTTATCTTACAAGAATAATTGTTTAATTAGTTTTAATTGGCATAAAATCGGATTAGATTAGCATAAGACCCTATTCACCCCACTCTAGGGTCTAACAGTGAGGTGGCATAATCCCCTCCACTCATTTAAATGGTTGCATATCCCCATGCACTCCTCAACCTATGTGAATGTGGTCTCTCATTTGAATAAGTAGAGGGGATTGTGCCACCTCACTATCAAGCATAAAATTTGTGCTTGGTACCAAGCATACCCATATTTCTCTCTCTCTCTCTCTCTCTCTCTCTCTCTCTCTATATATATATATATATATATATATATATATATATATAAATTTCTTTGCCAAAAAATGTCAATAAAGGCAATTTTTTATAGGTTTTTGAAAAACCGTGAACGCTTCTGTTCAGCAAGTATACCTATTTCTAGAAGACAAATTATCGATAAGAGGAAAAAGTGGAACAAACAAATTTTAGTTCCATTAAAATGTGCAGCAAAATATTTTAATAGATGTGCCCATTGATTAGAAAAAGGATACACACATAGAGGAAGAGGTTTCATATGAAGCATACACGGTGACAGTAATATTTTTAATAACAGAACCTGATTGTGTCAAGTAAACCACTGAAACTAAGACACCAGCACTACCTCAGAAGGATCCAAAACCAAGAGATGGCAGTGCGCGCGTCATATTTCATTCATAATGAGTACGGTAGCCATGGTTGATTTTGGTTCATGCGTGGTGGAGAACTAATTAAGAGGCCTCTTACAATATTGAAGGAAGAAAATAGGCAGGTGAGGTTTTTACATTGTATGTAAGTACTGAGGCTATTACTCTTTCATGGATTGTAATTCATAATGAAAGATAGAAACAACAAAAACCAGCAAATTATAAACATTGATGCAGGAAACCAATAAAACCTCCGAGCCATGATACTGGCAAAATAAACCAAACTAAGCTGGGAACCTTAAATCTTTTATCAAACTTAATCGTCATTGCACAATGAGCCACTTTTTCTCGTCAAGCCTCATACCAACCTGGAGAAACAAAGTAAATAGCCTTTCAATTAATCTACTGCCATGCAAGGGTTTAAGAGCTAGAAAATGTAGCTGAAAGTGTATTGGAAAGACATACCTTCGAGATTTTCTCCGGATGACCAAAATTATTTTTGAAAATCCGACAAGATATACATAAAGAAAACTGCAAACAAAATTCTTTTGGCAATTTTTTTTCTTTTTTCTTTCAAAGCAACATATTAATTCTCTCAATGACGGAAATAGCTAAAGTAGCTATACTTCCCCTTTATACCTTTTTACCTCAGCTAAACCTTCATACCATTTTCTTCAACAACATTGGGGGCTAATCCCAGCAACTTCATCATACAGAAGTACTTCTTCGGCACTCTAGCACCAGCCTGCATACATAGCTCCACCACAGCCGGGGAATGACCATAATACCCCCGTCCAGCATCCCCAAGCACCTCAGGATCATGCGGCCGCCGGTGCCACAAAACCTTCGAAGGCACCAAATCGTCCACCCCCGCCTTCCTCCACCGGTGGGCCCCACGCCACCCCTCATACCTAAAAACCCCACAAGCGCGAACTTTATTGCCTGAGGGCCCAATGTGAACCTCTGAGCAGTGCTCACAAACTTTAGCTGGGTACACAAACAAGAGTTTCTGAACTCCATCCCTGAGTTTTTCCCATGCATCTAGAGTCTCTTGACCAATCTGATACAATTTTTTAGTATCTTGTGTTAGGTTGTAAGAGGTTCCGTCTGAAACTTTGGCTCCGGCTTGGAAACATAGTTCGAGGACTGCAGGGATGCGATCGAAGTCAAAACGCTGGTCGTGGCTTATCATTGGCTGGAACATGGTTTGGAGGTGGAAGGCTTCAACAGGGCTAAGAATGTCATTAACGGTGGCGTCGATCCATCTATGCTCCCGATCCTTCTTGATACGCTTGAAGCCATGACAACTTTTGATTTGGTGGCCACTGCTACCAATGTATACCTCGGGACAATACCTGAAAAAGGGCAATATATCAGATATATCAAGTAAATAGGGGCAGAGATCTCTAAAACATGTCACAAGGCAAGCACAGGGCAGCTTAAACTACCACCATATTTTAGTAAGATAAGTTCACAGGGTGTTCTCTAATTTATAAAGTTCGGGGGTGCGGGGAGGGTTGTGCAAAACACTCCAAAGTTCAAGGATGATTTGTGAAATTTAAGAAGGAAATGAATTAGAAAAGGAATTACATCTCAGACATTTACTAAAAAGAAAGTATATACTTTTGAACCTATTAACCGTGGTCCTGGCAATGCAAGAACTTTGCATGCTGGGTTGTGGTGCATTGTTTTTGTGGAAACAAGGTTTGAAATTTCAAAACTGGTTGAGATTTGGATTGCATGTTTATTGCCAATTGGTATAAGTATCGGATATTATGTGATTTTAGTAGTATCGGATCGATTTTATAGGTGAATAAAGTAACTTCAAGTTTAATCACGAACTTTAAATTCAATGATTTGTTCCTAATATTGTATTACCGTTCAACTTCAATTACTTCAAACCTCATATCTCGTAGTTAGAATTATTATTCTACATCAACATGTATTAAATGTTAACCAATATCGACTATATAGTTTGGTTTCAGCTATATTTTACAAACATGCTCAAAATTCGTTATGATACGGCTAATGCATCAAAACTTGCGTGAAAACAACGGAAAAAATATACTATTCAAAGAATCAAAGATGGATAGTACTCTTTTAAGCCTTTTAATTCATGCAATAATGAATTATCTAAATAAATATATCAAGAGTAATCTACACAAAAAATAATATATTTATTGAATCTTTCCATTTATCTCAACTAGGTACCTATATCAGTAATTCACTAGGATCTCCTCAAACGGTGCACTCCTAGTAGTTGCTTAGTCTCCATCAAAGAATGTGCACTACATTAAATGACAATTTAAAATAGTTTTAACTTTCAAGGAATGGAAGAAAAATGAACCAATTAAAAAGAATAGGCTGGTGTATGGATATTACATGGATCATACATATATTTTGCCTGTTTACAACCTCATCAACAGTATCAAATAATATGTACGTCAATGGTCACTCTCACTGTCGCATCTTTATACAAGATGTTGCACAAGAATATTGTAGCAAATATATAGGTGTCTATTATTACAAAGAGATGATTAACAATTTCTTGTAGATATGGACTTAAAAGATATCATATAACTTACTTGCATGATTTCGCTGGGATTACTTTGAGAAGAGTAGAGACACCTTGCATCAAAAATTTTCGGGACTCGAGGACATCGTTTGCTACAGGAATCATGCTCTTCAACGGATAGTCCTTGATCCTATTATTTATTCTTTTAAGGATCATAGGACGAAGTCTTTTCCAGTCAACGTTGGACCTATAACATCTTAAATGCATAAGGGACCAACTGACTTCTTCCTTGAGATAATGCTGGAATTTCTGTCTTAGAGCCATAAAAACCTGTATCAGAAGGTTAAAATGTTGAAGGTGCAAGTTTTACAACATTTATTATGGAGAAGAAACAACTGAATCCGCAATCTATTAACACAACGTACGACTGGAAGTTAATTTGCAGGAATAGAAACAATATATATTAACACTTACAAGTGTTAAACAGGAAACTTGTAGACTTTTATTTAAGATGTTTTACGCTGAAAATATCATTAATAATTGTTTCTCACGAAGATTTTTATTGTTAGTCTTGTGCATGACATGCCTCCTACTTCCAGCCCATGGTATAAGTTAAAGTAAAACATAAATAAAAGAACTAAGTAAAATATTTCATGACAAAACTAAAGTATTCAGGTATGATCAAACTTCTCGAATCGTTCATGCTCATTATAGAATATGGATAAAATAAAGTAAAAGAGTTCTCAGAAATCATAATAATAAACTTCAGGTATGATAAGACAGATAAAGGGGGCCAAAAGGGAACTCAAGTTGCACAATTCCAAGCAAAATTGTCCTATTAAAACTCAACCAAGTGCAAAGAGGTAGATGGGTTAACCAAGTCTGGTTCCTCAATCATCAAACCACCACTTTACCAAGTGCTAAACATACTAACAGTAGGGCTTCTTAAAACAAGGCTACACTAAGGGTGCTCTTAAAAGTAATAATGTACGCACTTGAGTTATAACATTGTGTGAACGAAGCATCAAATATTATCAAATAATGATAATCATGGTATCCATTAGAAGCTATATTACCTGGATACTTCTGTAAGGCAGCCATACCCATACCCAACACACCCCTACCTGTACACATACTAAAACTTCTTGGACAATTCTCGAATATATGATATGTTTGCTTAGCATATACTCAACTATATATTACATGTTTTAATTTAAAACACTCATACACTTCTTGGACGTATATCCTACACTTCACGTCTATTTCTTATACATTGGTTGTGTAAATGGAAAAATAATATTTATCTAATGTAATATATAAATTTTAAACATATAACTGTACATAACATACACATATAGTCATGTCCCTGTATCCTACCTTTTCCAAATTTTTCGTGTCCTATAAGGCGGTACCCATACCCGTGGAACTTAGGCATTCCTATTCCTATGTCATAGTTCAATGTCTCTCACTTGCCAGTAAAAGACTTGTATTTGTACTCATACTTACAATTTTTTTGTTTTGCACTCTATAGATAAAGGTTCACGGGGAATGATTCAAAACCTTTTGATTTTTATTTTTATTATTTTTGACGTCGATCCATCTATGCTCCTAGTCCTTGATACGCTTGAAGCCATGATAGCTTTTGATTTGGTGGCCCCTGCTACGAATGTATACCTCGGGACAGTACCTTAAGAAGGGCAATATATCAGATATATCAAGTAAATAGGGGCAGAGTTCTTTTAAACATGTCATAAGCCAAGCACAAGGCAGCTTAAACGAACTGGCATCATATTTTAGTAAGACAAGTTCAGAGGGTGTTCTCTAGTTTATAAAGTCCGGGGATGCGGGGAGGGATGTGCAAAACACTCCAAAGTTCAGGGATGATTTGTGAAATTTAAAAAGAAAATGAATTAGAAAAGGAATTATATCTCAGACATTTACTAAAAAGAATGTCTATACTTTTGAACCTATTAATCGTGGTTCAGGCAATGCATGAACTTTACATGCTGGGTTGTGGTGCATTGTTTATGTGGAAACAAGGTTCGAAATTTCAAAACTGTCGAGATTTGGATTGCATGTTTATTGCCAATTGGTATAAGTATTGAAGATTATGTGGTTTTAGCAATATCGGATCGGTTTTATAAGTGAATAAAGTAACTTCCAAGTTTAATCACAAATTTTAAATTCAATGATTTGTTCCTAATATTGCATTATCCGTTCAACTTCAATTGCTTCAAACTTCATATCTCGTAGCTCGAATTATTATTCTACATCAGCATGTATTAAACGTTGTCAACCATTATCAACTAAATAGTTTGGTTTTAGCTATATTTTACAAACATGCTCAAAATTCGGTATGATACAGCTGATGCATCAAACCTTGTCTGAAAACAATGGAAAAATATACTATTCAAAAGATGGATAGTACTCTTTTATGCCTTTTAATTCATGCATTAATTAATTATCTAAATAAATATATCAATAATAATCTAAATAACAAAAAACAATATTTATTTAATCTTTTCATTTACCCCAATTAGGTACCTATATCAATAATTCACTAGGATCTCTTCAGATGGTGCACTCTTGGTAGTTGTTTAGTCTCCATCTAAGAATGTGCACTACATTAAATAACAATTTAAAATAGCTTTAACTTTTAAGAAATCGAAGACAAATGAACCAATTAAAAAGAATAGGCTTGTGTATGGATCATACCTATATTTTAATTGTTTACAACCACATCAACAATATCAAATAATATGCATGTCAATGGTCACTCTCACTGTCGCATCTTTATACAAGATGTTGTACAAAAATATTGTAGCAAATATGTAGGTGTCTATTATTACAGAGAAAGATAATTAACAATTACTTGTAAATATGGACTTATAAGATATCATATAACTTGCAAGATTTCGCTAGGATTACTTTAAGAAGAGTAGACACCTTGGATCAAAAGTTTTCAGGACTCATGGACATCGTTTGCTACAGGAGTCATGCTCTTCAAAGGATAGTCCTTGACCCTATTATTTATTCTTTTAAGGATCATAGGACGAAGTCTTTTCCAGTCAACGTTTGACCTATAACATCTTAAATGCATAAGAGACCAGCTGACTTCTTCCCCGAGATAATACTGGAATTTCTATCATAGAGCCATAAAAACCTGTATTATAAGGTTAAAATGTTGAAGGTGTAAGTTTTAGATCATTTATTATGGAGAGAATCTGTAATCTATTAGCACAACATACGGCTGAAAGTTATTTTGCAGGAATAGAAGAAAAATATACTAACACTTACAAGTGTTAAACAAAAAGCTTCTAGACATTGATTAAACTAATTAAATTACATGAGAAAGAAGTCTTCTAACTAAACTCATGCTCATTAATCCTATAAAAACATCTTCAATTAAAGTCTAGAAGCTTTTGTTAATATATTTTTCTTCCATTCTTGCAAAATAACTTCTAGCCATATGTTGTGCTAATAGATTGAGAATTCAGTTATTTCTTCTCCATAATAAATATTGTAAAACGTACACCTTAAACATTTGAACCTTCTGATACAGGTTTTTATAACTCTTAAGACAAAAATTCCAGCATTATCTCAAGAAAGAAGTCGGCTGGTCCTTTATGCATTTAAGATGTTATAGGTCGAACGTTGACTGGAAAAGACTCCGTCCTATGATCCTTAAAAGAAAAAATAATAGGGCCAAAGACTATCTATTGAAGAGCATGATTCCTATAACAAACGATGTCCTCGAGTCCTGAAAACTTTTGATCCAATGTCTCTACTCTTCTCAAAGTAATCCCAGCAAAATCTTGCAAGTTATATGATCTTTTAAGTACATATCTACAAACAATTGGTAATTAGCTTTCTTTGTAATTGACATGCATATTATTAGATACTGTTGATGGGGTTGTAAACAGGCAAAATATAGGTATGATCCATGTAATATCCATACACAAAACAACACTGGCTCAGAGCCTATTCTTTTTAATTGGTTCATTTATCTTCCATTTCTTGAAAGATAACGTTATTTGACATTGTCTATCGCAGCCTATTGGCAATCGTCAAGATACCCACACTAAGCAACTCGTCAATCCCAGTCGCACTCGTCAAGAAAGGAGCTCCCTTAAAACCGCAGGCTAACCAAAAGCCGCCAACATTAAATCAAGTACAAAAAAGAGAGTTTCCATAAATATTAATAGCCTCACTGACGACAAACAAGACAAATAATTTACGGCATTGGCCAAAAACAGAGCGTTCATAGGAAGACCACAACGTTGATTAGCGGATACTGGAAAATGAGGACCATGGCCAATTGAAAGACACAAAGACACAAACTTCACACTCTTATAACCTAATACTCAAGCAACCAAAGGACCAAGCATCCAACCCTACGCAGGTACCACCTATCTGAATGACACTAAAACAACCATCCCAAAAAACCCTCCTCGCAACATAACCTACATCTCGATTTATCAAATAGTCAAAAGACAATATTTGCCATTCCTTCTAACCGTAGAACACCGGCATTTCTTCCACTTACCTGAATAATCAAATTCTTGCATAAAATCAAGCTTCTATAAGCTTGATCTCTAAACTAATGTGTCGCATAATAAATCAACATCACGACTCCTAAATACCACTCCTTTAACATCACATCTTCATTAACCCATGTAAAAATTATAGGAAAGACAAAAGGAGTAAATCCTAGATTCATCTAAAACTTCTCCCAACTGACAACACAAACAATCATAAACTTGACAGATTCAACTCACAACACAAGAAAGAAAGAGGTACCTCAGCGGAGCATCCAGCATTCAAAAACTTCCACGACGTAGAAACCCTAATCTGAGCGCAGGGAGGCCAAATCCAACGATACCAGGGTCAAGACGAAGCCCTTGGGGCGCTGAACCCGGATCCAAGAGCCGCAGCGAGAGATCTCAGAAGCCCCAGGATCAACGAGGGGAAATAGGAAGAGAGAGAGAAAAACGAAATTCGTAGAGAGAGAGGAAAAGGTTGAGGAAGAAAAGAGATGGAGAGGGATAAGGGAGAAAAGGGGGGTTGGGTTGCCGACAGGCTGTCATGTTCGGAGTTATAGAAATCAAACTATTATTATTTTTTAATATTTTATATTATATATGGAACGGACCTAGCTCCTCTTGTTTTACCCTGTTGTCCTTTCGGCAACTGGCAACTGTGTCAGTTTCATCTTGAACCCTGCTACTTGGCTTGCGGTTGGACCGCCAGCCAAAAATCTTTTTCCTTTCATCTTTTGGGTTTCATCTCCTCTAATTACTAAGGGGCTGTTTGGTTGTTGTTGGTAAAGTTGTGTATTTATGACACAATTTGGAAAGTTGTTGTCCACCTCATCAATTTCACTTTTATACTTTTCTTTGTTTGTTTTTGATTCCATTGGAATCATAAAACACTTGTTTGGTTTGTAAATGTAACTTTAATTGTTTGTTTGGAAAGTGTAAAAAGTGGTCCCTACTCAAATGATCATATTGGTTGGAATTATTTTTTATTATTTTTTCCTGACTTCAATGTTAGCTTTCTCCTAAAATCATGTCTTTTTTTTATGAAATCACTTTACAAGCCACATCAGCATATGAAATCACTTTACACTATTTTCACAACTACAAACAAACAATTAAAAGTGATTAAAGCTGACATTGGGACCCACTTTTTTACACTTTCCATCCTTTTACACGGTAAAAACATAGAACCAAACAGCTCCTAAAAGAGGAAAGTTCGGTTCAAATAAAAAGGTTTCCGAATCTCTCGCAAGAAAATAAATTACTAGTTCATGTGCGTATATATGTAACTCCTTTAGAAATATGAGTTTTGAAAAAAGATTTTATGATTAATATTACTTTTTACTATTTTAAATATATTATTCAAATCTTACTTTATCTTAATTTAAATTATATCTTGTACTAATCCCGCGTGAATTGCATGTATCTAAACAATTTAAAAAAATAAGATTAATAAAACATATGAAATACTATTGTGAATATTTCATTTAAATTCTAATCTATCCTAGAACTAATTATATCATAAATTAATCCCACGTGAGCTACCTATAGTGCAACAATTTTAAAAATAAGATTGAGAAATCATATATAGCTAACATATTATAATACATGAAGTATTACAAAAAAAGGCCAAAAAGTTTTCAAATTTATATAAAATACCCTCAAAAGTTTAAAATTAAACAAAACACCCTGACTTTTCAAAACTTAAAATAGCAAACATTGTAGCCGTATAAAAGTGCCTATAGGTCCCTGAACATAGCTTGGCACGCTGATTCGACAAATCGACGGACCATCGGGCGACGTATCTAAACACGAGCGTTAGTCCACAATACCGAAGCCAAGTGACACGCAACGAAGCGGATTAACGAGGCGACGAGGCTAACGAATCGCACGCAAGCAACGGAATGCATCCATTCGCGTGCGGAATCAAGCCAACGGCTCGGTGAGTCAACGAGTCATCCAACTACGGAATGGATTCGAACTCGAACACCGAATCGGTGAGTCATCGAGTCATCCAACTGTTGAACGGATTTGAACTCAATCACCGAAACGGGTTTACTGCCATATCAGGATCCGGACTGCCAAATCAGGATTCAGATCAACGACGAAGATCAGATAAACCGATAAACCACGAAACCGGACAAACGGACGACGCGGCAAAAGCCGGGCCAACAGAACGAGCCGCTCGGGGGCTCCGGTGGCCGGAGCCACCCCAAAGTGTGGTCGGCCTTTGCCGAGCCACCCAAGGGTGGCTCGGGTGGCAGCCACAGTCTGATCTGGGCCCAGATCTGGGCCCAGATCCGACCTGATTGTGCCTATAAATAGATCCTTGATGCCTCATTTTTAAAGGTTGGATTTTCTGGAGCCGAACCTCTGCCAAATTGAGAACTCAACCCCCGGACTTGCAACTCAACACTCGGACTTCCAGATCTGATTCTTGGCGATCGTCCTAGCTATTTTAGGCAGGAGTTCGAGAGAATTCAGATCTGAGATCTACACGGATTTCCTCCGGATCAAAGCTTGGCCTTTGATCCCGAGAAGAGTCTCGATATCGCTTGGTCGATCTCGACACTTAGGCTATTATTTTCCTTAGTGAAATAATCCCCACGTCCGTTATTTCCTTCGTGAGATAACGCCCGATATACCGTGTAGATCCGACCGGATCTAGATCGCGCGGTGGTCCACGGATAAACCCGGCGCTGGCAAAGAACCCACGCAAGCGAGTGACCGCAAAACAGGAGCTCGTGATTTGTTCGATATAAAAGGAAAGTTGTAATCTTTTATTTTCTTTTTTTGATCTCGTTGTAACCGAATCTTATAAAAAGACCGGAGCTTTGTAACCGATAAACTGTTAACAAAGTAATCAATGGAATCATCAAAGAAAACAATTTTTCTCGCGAACAATCTGGCGACCACAGTGGGAGCCAACGATCTCGCTGCCGAGATCGATGCGTCGCAGCCGCGGATCTGCATCCCGGTCGAAGAGGAGGTCGAATACGAATTCGATCAACAGAAGTTCGAGGAGTATCTGTCATCCTCGTCTGGATCGACCTCCCCCCGTAAGTCCAAGAAGTTCTCCTCCATGAGAATGGTGCGTTGGTACGAAGAAGTTGAAGCTACCAACGAGGATCTCACCCCGGTTGACGCCGAAGTCGCGTCGGGTGAAGCTCAACCAACCTCTAACCAGATCAAGCTGGTTCCAACCAATTCCTCCGTCACCAAAGGGGCGGTGACTCTCTCAAAGAGAGCCCGCCAAAGGCGACGCCAGCGCTTGGCCAAAGAATTCGCCAGAGCGATGGAGTCCACCGACGGAGTCCGCTACAACGCGGATCTGAAGAGCAGGAGGGGCAAACAGCCCCAAACGCCATAATTGCAGTCCTCCAAGCCGCCAACGAGGCGTAATGGCGTCTCGTGTAAACGGGAACGTTCAACACTCGAAGTAGCCGCATTCGCAAAAGCGTCCGCGCCAAATGTCAGCGCTAAGCACGAGCTCAGTCCAAGAGGCACGAAGAAGACTGCAGAAGGAAGGGGCCAAAAGCCGCCACCGACCCGCCAAGTTTGGAAGCCGAAGTCTGAAGCCGGCGATTCAGCTAAGGGCACGACCCTTGCCAGCGCTTCACAAAGGTTACCTCGGCGAATCAAACCGAAAATCGCCGTGTGTTCCAGTAGCCACTCCGGGAGATCCTGCGGAATCGCCCAAAGGAGAAAATTAGTCTTGGAGCGCCTCGGTCCAATTCCCGATGAACGAGGCAAGGCTCTAGTTCAAGAGCGTTTGGGCCCAGTGAAGAAGCCCCGAACGACTCAGCACACTGGGGGTCGCCGTCACCTTCAGCATGACAAGGAGCTCAAGCCAGCTGCGCGCACTAGTTTGCGCATCGAAGTCCAGGAGCCCGCTGAGAACTCACGCCCGAAAAGGCATGTTTCGAGGCGCGTGACTCTTGAGAGCCCAAAGAAGGCAGTTCGCCCTCAGAAGGAGACGTTGTCGTCTGATGACGATAACGTTATACCTGAGAGATCGTGCCGACACACGATGAGTTGCTCCGACCGTCAAACCGACGAGTTGTACTATCGTGACGGGAGCACAAGGAAAACCAGGAAGAGGAGTCCTCGGAGATTGGAAACTCAATGCCCCTGTTCCAAACTCATTCGGGCGGTATTGTCTGAATGCAACTGCATTGAGACGGTCCCCGAAAGAGTTTCGGTTTTCGAAAGGCTCAGTGCCGAAACGCCAAGATCAAGGCCTAGGCGTTTCCGACGAAGAAGGAGGGTAGTCGAAGACGGAGAATTTCTGAGGGTCACCACCAACATGACCAGCAAAAGGGCATCGACACGGGATAATCTCGAGTCAATTCCGCCAGTACCCCGGTATCTAACTCGTCTGCAGTCCGGAGCCATTAGACGAGGAACTTATGGCAGGATTCGGACAAGACCTCCTTCAGAAGATGAAGAATTGGATGTCGGTTCCGCAGTTGCGTCGGACAATACGGTATCCAGTGAAGGTCAACCCCGCGAGTCGTTGATGATAAGCGCGGAACAAGTGGCCAAGATGGTCGAAGAAGCCATGGCTAAACAGCAAGAGAGCTTCAAGCACGAAATGCAGATGGCCATGCAGACTATGAGAGAAATGCATGACCAGCAAATCCGAGCGCTGACAAACCAGCAAGGCGAGCCAAGTCATCCTAACCAGATCAATCTGGACGATGAGGACACAGGTGTGAATAATACCAATAATCCTCCCGACAATGCAGGGGGTGGTAACGAGAATGCTAATGAAGATACAAGTGAAAACTTGAAGATCAAAAATCTCGAGAGCAAAATCAATACGTTGATTTCCGCTCAAGAGATGAAGAAGACGGGCATTCCTTGTCCATACCCGAGAGAATGGGAATCAATCCCCTATCCGGCAAAGTTTAGTCTCATTAACTTCACGCCGTTTGATGGAAAGGGTTCACCCACTCAGCATTTGATTTATTTCAAATCGCACCTGGGTGTCATCTCCGGTAATGGGCCTCTGATGGTACGGTCATTCGTTAGCACTCTCCACGGAGCCGCTTTCGATTGGTATCGTCGCCTCAAGCCAGGGAGCGTGAATAGCTGGGACGACATGGAGACCAAATTCCTCGCCAACTTCTTCGACGACGACACCGAGATATCCATCGGAACGTTGCTCGATGAGAAGCAAAAGGACGGAGAGCTGGTCGACACCTTCGTCAAGAGGTTCCGGAACAAAGCGATGAATTGTCGGGACCCGATCACTGAGGAGTTCATCCTCCAAACCTGCCATAACAACCTTGCACTGGATGTGTTGGAAGCAATGGGGACAACACCGTCCAAGACGTGGAAAGACTTGAAGGTCCGAGGGGAGCAAGCCGAGCGATTCCTCAGGAGGAAGAAGGCGGAAAGAGGCCAACAGGCGACGACTGCTCCACAACAGAACTTTACCCCCGGGGGAAAGGTAAGGCACGTGCTAATGCAGTTGATGCTAATCAGACTTTTCAATTGCAACCTCAGCAACAGCCGCAGCAGCGAGC